GGACGGGGAAGCGGCCAAATTGCTCTTGATAATCTAAACTGTATTGGCTACGAGGCGGATATAACACAGTGCATGCGATCCGCCTGGTACCAGAATAACTGTGGACATAGTGAAGATGCTGGTGTTGATTGTCATGGTATGTAACGGTTTGTAAAATAGAAAAAAAAGAGAACGTTAGTATTATTCGAATCTTATACAATGTGTGTAAAATTTTATTAACATTTATAAAGATATTTTCGAAAATGTACAGTTTTAAAGAATGCTTTTGTGGAACAAACAAAATGTTACTTTAAGACGTATGAACATTGAGTGTAATAACGCTAAATTCAAAAAGATATTTATAAATTTGCAATATACAAAAACAAATACTAATAACTTTATTGCAAATAAAACATTATTACAATTTTTATAGCAAAAACATATACATGTATACACATTTATGAATATATAACATTAAAACTCTTGAATAAATGCTATATTTTATCCTCATTTGTTTGATACATATACATGATAGCTACACTAAATAAGTACATGTTTGCAGGTTATGTTTATGGAGGAGTAACATTACCTAAATATTCGGGATATTTTACCAGTGATAATTACTATACATCTACTACATACAGACCATGGTATTTATCTACTAAAGGTAATCAACGATTCCTGATTTATAGTACAACTAAACATATACTATGCTCAAATTTGATATTAGAAAAATGTTGTTAATTACTTAACAGACAGTCTCTATGTAAATATAGAATAAATATAAATGTTTAGGTTCCACTTAAAGTAAATATGTTTAATATAAATATGTTTAAAATTATACTCACTATATGTGGTCACAATATGAATATAAAGAAAAACTAGCAATTTTTTTAAAAAGAAAATACCAAGTTTGCATGACGTGTGTTAAGGAACGCAGCTTCCCATTCACTGGATGTTCATTAGTTTATTAAAAAAGTAAGACAAATTCAGTAAGATTTCATAGATTTCAATAAATATCTGTGATTTGAATATTTTAACCAAGGATGAGCATAGAATATCCTTAAGCAATATATAGATCAACAGTTGATCTTGCTTTGTCAATTGACTTAATATAAATTGATACCATATTGTCCATGTTTTAAACGGTGTAAAATGTAATAGAGAAAAAATGAGGAATTTGTTATTAATTATTCGTCGCATAGCATATTTTTAAACAATGGTAATAACAATAGGTAGCACTTATAAGCTAACTAGAAGAAAGAAAGTGCATTTAACATTAAAATACAGATACCAAAATTTTGATAAACAGCAAAATATCTATTTTATTTCACTGGCATTTATATTGCATTTTAATACACTATGACTGTCCACGAATATCTGCGATTGAATGGCAAAAATGGAATAAATTTAATGAACCTTCACATATCCATGAATGTAATCTTTCAGTGTTACTTAGTTAATATATATGTGTTCTTCTGTAGGATATGGCCTGACAGATGCAATTCGAGTTGGATGTGATGAGAACGGATGGAACATTAGAGTAGACCTTACTGTTTTGAGAAATTTACATCCTGGTGCTGTGGCTTCAGATATTTATTTAGGGGAGAATACGTGTACTGGTACACAAGGCTGGAATACTGTCACATTTCAACAAGGATTACATGAGTGTCTCACTAGTCAAACTGTAAGTGTTTTAATTGATTACAAGTTGTTCTGATGAACTCAAACGTGCAAATTTTTAAGTTCCTGATGCACTGTGCTTAAGTAGTTTTTTAGTTATATGAATGAAGAATGTGTAAAGCAAGTTTTGTTGATATTTTCGCCTGGAATTATAAATTAAATATGTTAAATAAAATTAATAATTTTATAGATTTCAGATATATATTTCAAAACAGCAGGTGTCAAGTGCAATGGGCAGATGTAAAATGCTGCCCCATACTTCACTTCAGTGTTGATATATTTTTCTGATTCCTTTGATCATTGATTCCTTTAAAATGTTAAAAATTGACTATCGCTTAAGCCGGTGCTAAGGAAGAACGAGGGATGTTGCTCTTCTTCATTATCTCTAATATGCAGACTCAGTGACACCGAGTCAAACCTTTGTTAAACCTTCTTAAATCTTTCTTGATTAAATCTTGAAATATAACTTTCTGCTTTACCTTTTTATTGAATAAATATATTTAGGACGTTTAACATAGAAGTATGCAGCTTGTTCTTTGACTTTATTTATATTTCAAGGTAATTTCTTCCAAAATGTTTGCTCTTATTTTTTAGCAATGTTTGAAATCCAACAACAAATACGGTGTATTTTATTTCTTTACAGATTAGAAACGATGTCCTTGTGTACAGAAACCAGCTTGTGTATGCAGAACGAGACCCAATTCATTCCTTTATAATTCGACACTACAACTGGACAGTGAGTGTAGAATGTGACGTTGGAAGGAATGAAACGTCGTCAGGTTAATACAATTTAAGTCAAAACGATCATCTTTTTTTCTTGCTTTTTGCATGTAACTAGAGCCTTTTATTTATTTTTTTAATTCATTCTCAGCTAGTATGTTTTACTGCATGCATCTCAACTGGTCATGTAAATTTGTTATTTCAAAGCACTGAGTTATAATTTGGTACCTAAACCAGAATAACCCTGCTAACGATTTTATAAAAATAGTCCAAAGAAAACAACACAGTACTTGTATGATGTTTAAGTTCTTTCTTTCTTTTCAGGACATATCCATCATGATGCAGGTAATAATCCTGTTGACTCCGTGCTTGGTTCGAGTCATTACTATGTCAACATGAGCTTCTACTCTGATCCTAATTTTGCATATCAAATTAGTGGAAATCCCATACATGTTGCAGTAGGAAACAAAGTTTATGTCAAGGTTTTCACCACAAGCTCTGACTGGACAATCAAAATGAGGGTACATACGTGCTACACAAAACCATCTGCAAATGCGTCTGACAGTTTTAAATTTGAAATGATAAAGAATGGGTAAATAATTATACATTTATTTTAAATACATTATTTTGATACATTTTGAAATATATAGACTTGACAATAATTTAAGTGATATTCGTATAAACTGCATTAAGAGCATAATATAAGATATTATGATTTAATAGATTAAATGTAATTGAATCTACAGCGTTAACATATCGTAAATATATTTGTCAAAGAACTTCATAATGCTGTCAAATGATTTAATTATTTGCTGTCAAGAATTTGATTTTGTCATCAAATCATTTGATTATGCCGTCAAAGAATGTCAATATGTTGTCGACGATATTTTATTGTTTTCTATATTGATCGATAATGATAATTTCTTTCAAGGTGTGAGATGGATTCAAACACTCATATCATATCACAGTCCTCACATGAGACTCGTTTTGTGTTCGAGGATTTCGAATATACCAGCAATCACGAGGGTCTTTATGTCTACTGTGACGCCATGTTCTGCCGCTCCTCCGACTACTCCAGACAATGCATGCAAACATGTAATCCATAAAAGAAAAATTAATTATTGTTTTTCATTGAAGACATGGATAAAATAAGATAATTTTCAGATAAAAAAAGAGCACAATAAACTTTCAATATGTAAATGTGTAAGTTGTGTAAGTTGTGACTTTTAAGCTTTGTTTATAGTTTAGGTTTCGTATGATTTAGAATTTTCGGATTTCATTTTCTCGTTTTCTCAATACAATATGTACAGTGGAAAATAAACCATTTTCTTGTTGCAATTTAACATATTATTTTGCTTGTTGTTGCAGCCGTCATTGTTATTATTTCTGTTGTTAGAGCTCATTCTGTTCCAATTAATTTGGAGTTCTCCTCCTACCTAACAATTAGAGAAGCGCTCGGCCGAGTGGTTAACGTATCGGACGAGTAATTTAAGAATTGCTGGCCGCTTTAGTTGAAACCCCGTCAGTGGCAAGCCGTTGATTCCGGAACAAGAAACTTTACACTCAGTGCTTAGTACTGGTTTGTTCCAAAAATGGATTCGAGAGGGTTTCAATAAACTTATAGCTTCTAACATAATTAAACTAAATGAATTAGTACCAACTACACATATTCAAATACTCAAGTAAAATTGGGTACCTGAATTTTCGCATCACAATTAACAAACATTATTAGATTAATGATCGTTAGGATCATATTTGTCATTATTACCATAGAAAGGAGCATCCCCATGATATGTCTGTGAAGTGTGATGCTGTGGTATACAAAAATCTTCATTGTCTGGTATCATCCATTATTGAAATATGTGAAAGCATCATATCATAATATGATATGTATAATTATTTTATTACACTAAGCGAGACAATTAAGTCGGTGCAACACTTTTATTTTTGCCTTTCTATAATAAATGTCGCATTCCTTTGTTTGCTTCTCATATATTTAATCGGTTCGAAATGGAAATACAAATATTAAATAAATGACTTAGGTACTGTTTCATTTTTGCATGAAATATGTTAAGTAAAAGTTCTATTTATCACATAAACTTATTTAAAATTGATATATAACGCTCCAAACTTCGTAATAATATATTGAAAAACGGTATCCCCTTCGACTGCCAGTTATATGAAATCCACCGACTAGTTTGTTATTTCTTATTCTCTGCTACTTTTTGTCATGTGTCAACTGTAAAAAAAGTAAGTTGAGGAGCTTTGTGACATATTACCAAATACACATCTTCAAATACATTTTTACGATTATCTTAAACTTATGCTTATGATTATGGTCATATGTTAATTTGTAAATATGTGTTTTAGATTGAAATGAAAATGTAAATTTGTTATTTCTGAAATTAACATTGCTTTTGTTTTGGCAACGAAAAAAGAAATGCGGACATACGAAGATACGCCTTTTCACATTGTTGCTTACTCGTATCTGCTGGCGATTAGTCGCTGAAAATATAACGGTTTGAATAATATAATTATACAATTTATTTAAAATTATATTATTTTCGCATTTAATTATCCCTCTCTCCCATTCTGTCACCCGATGTGTACACACGCTGGTATATTCGGAACGGGAAAATGTGACAATGTAATAAAGAAAGTACATGTAATCTGTTTATATAGTTATTAATTTTTCCGAACGAATTTTGACTTCCTGTAAATTTTACGGGGAAAAACTTGATTTAAGAAGAGTTTTCGTTGGTTATTGTAAATTACAAAATAAAATTTGTAAATGTCATTTACTGTCCTAAGATAAAATGTTAAGAATACTTCATGTCATTCTAACATAGTTCTTAACTAAACTGTTAATGGTTGTCCTTGCCATTATAAAATAAAATGTAATGGATAGTTATATAATAAAATGGAACGGACAGTTTAACTTTCTTTAGTTAAATTGTTATTTAAGTTCTTTTTAACAATACTTCCTCCCACAAATCATTTTACACTGCATGCAAATGTCGTTACTTTTTCAAATGAACTGTTTATTTGACGTTAGAACTTACTGAGTTTATTTTGCACAAGAGCTAAGTTTTAAAGTTTGTCCAAAATAAAACAAATAATATCAGAACTTGTTTATGATGTTCGATAAGTGTCTAATATATAATATGATTATTGATGTATTTATAAAATAATTGTCTACCAACTGTGCAGATGGTGATATTAAAAATTGAGTTCACTTACCGAAACACGGCAGGTCCGTTTAGAAATACATCTCAAGTAAGATTAATTAACACTGCAAGAAATTACTACGGCATTTTTATTCAAACTATGCTATCATTTCTTTGCATAAGAACTAACATATGCAAGATGACCGCTTCTTGTTGATTTTCGAGCCATATCTGGATAGTTGTCAAAGCTGTCAGTAATATTGCTGGCAAATCATAAGTCAATCATTGTTTTTTCGTGTTCCATAAAATAAAATAAGATAAAAATAACTATTCTTATATATTATATTTTAACAATTAAATAATTGGCATAAAGCAGAATGAAAACGGTACACTAGTACATATTTAAAGTTGAACGTGCCTGATTATGAATAGAATACAGTAACATTTAAAGCGAAAAAGATAGGATAATCGACGTCGTTTTCGAGTTATTTGCATGTGAAATAGAAAGGTCTGCTTATCTCAAGCGGATTGGTATCAACATTGGCTTGATTGCGCAACATTTAAAGAATTGATAATAAGAATGTGGTTTATTTTTTCTTCTTTACTGAAAGCTTTGCAACTGTCTTTAAAATTGTCACTTTTAAAGAATGTTCAGCGTCTGAACAAAAATCTAAAATGAAATTCCATGGAATTTTGTATTCTAACCAAGGATAGAATAAAACATACCAATATGAAAAATAAAATTTGTAAGAGTTTTGTAAAAGTTATCCGCCCTGAAAATGACATACACTTAAACAGATGTTTACCTATGTTTAACCCTTGTATACGCCTTAAACTAGTGGTGGTGACTTTTGAAGACATACAAGCCAGTTTCCCAAATAGTTATGATTAAATCTCTATATTTTCTACTACATTTTAAAGAAAACAGGTTTGTGTAATGAAAACAACTGAATTTGCAATTAAACACATGCTGAATAAAGCTGACACGTGATTTTCAGTTTAACATTTTATTAATAAGTAATTATATCTATAATTATTATACATGTATAACGTTTTTAAAAGATGAACAATTGCACATGTCATGGGGACTTTTAACGAGATATATACATGCAATAGAAAAAAATCAAATTAGTTTCTAGTATTGATAATATCGTATCTATGTTGAAACGGTATCTAAACAAGAAAAATATTACATACATTCGTATGTAATATAGGTACGATTGCATACTACTTTTTGTGAAGACTTTATGTTTGCTGAATTTAAGGTGTAATGTAAAATGAACAAACATGTCATGAGATATTTTATATCTTTAAACATTTTCATGGAATGTAATTAATGTATCACCATATTAAAGTTGCATGCCTTCAGATGAGAAAAATTATTTCAAGGAAATCAAAATATGAAAAGAAAATTCACGGTCAATTGACTGCTTTGAAGCATAATCACAAAATAAAATTACAGGAAATTAAAAACCTTTTTATACACTTAAGGTAGAATTTCATTGTAAATCATAGTCACAGATTTGAGATATGATTATTTATTCATATTAACATCATTATTGGTTATATATTGATAAAAAAAAAAACCGAAAGACACAGTTTGTAAATATTTATTACAATAAAATATGAAAAAGGTATACGCGCCGAGGTTAGCTATAATTAAAATTCCCGCGCTAAGTCGCGGTGGTGCTTGGGATAATCACTTGATACTGTAAATGGCAGCCATTTTACGATACGAAAATGCCTGGCCCTCCTCGGACAGTTTATCCTGCCGAAAATATATGAAAAAATACTTGCAATTCAAAGTTTGCGGGCTACATAAAGATTATCGATTTACTCTTTGCACACTTTTTTTCTGCCTGAGTATAATAATATTGACGTGTTTTCATTGGCTTAAACCATCACGTTACCAATACACATGTAGGTGTGAACTAATTTCGTGTTCATTAAAATTATTCTGTTAATAGACATATAACAATCTTATTTACTTATTATTTTAATGAATTGATAAAACAACAATCCCAGAAGCATTTAAGATAATAACAATCATTGGAAAAAAATAAATGCATATAAATTGTAAATTTGTGTATGACAACTCAACCCCCTAAACAAAACATAATAGACTCAACCAAAACAAGCGCCTGCTTCTTCACCTAACTACATTGTATGTAGTTGCATGACCATGATTAGCAATTTAGCAAACCAAATCTAAGAGATAAACCTATTGTAAAAATAATACTATGACCACAGCAGATTTCGTACAGAAAAGAAATATTATAAACATCCTACTGTAAAAACACAACAACAAAGTACTCGTTTTGCTGCAATTCATTTATAGGATTGGTGACCTCATGCGATTTGTTTAAGGTAAAATTGGGTCACCATTATCGGCCGTGCCCATGATTTTAAATTTTTTGTCTTGCAATATTTTGATAAACAAAAACTACCATAGCCCAAGCAAGTATTTGCCAATTCCCACAGTACATTACTTTCTCTTTCACTTTTTACGTTATGACACCAGCATATTTTTCTAAATGAAAATATGCAGTAACAATATGTCACAAAGCACATCGATAAAGTAAAGAGTTTCATTGAAAAAATATGTACAGTTGAAATTGGCAATTATTTGCTTTGTACATGGTGTATGATTATTTTTTTAATATAGAAAATTTAAGCAAACAATTAGAAAAAACATTTAAGGTCGTGGGCACAGCCTTTAGCGGTGATGTTACCTTAAACAAATCCCACGTGATCACCTACATTGAATTGTAAAAAGTAAACGATTTTATGTTATTAAAACATACACGAAAATGAATAAAATAACAGAGAAAATCTTGAAAAAGTAAATCATTTCTATACAGTATATTCTTTTCCTCCAATTTTACGTTTTGACTTTTAAACGTTTCTTTATAACTAAACTGATCAAAGCTAAAAATCGTTAAACCATTAAGTGGTATCAAATATCCTGTAAGGTGATATATAAGAACGCACTCCTATCGTTGATACCGATTTATTGGAAAGAAATGATTTATTAAAGTTTCTGTATAAAAAAGCATTTCTAGTTTTAAGAAAACTGCCAAAATGAATGTATATCTTTGGAATTGTATATGCGTCAGATAAACTTATTCATCAGAGATGAAATATATAAAATAACTCAAACTTTCGATTTCGTGTATACTGTATATTCCCTATAACTTTCATGAAATCCACGACTTGTTCCTAGTCCTTTCTTTAGGCTTCTAATTTCCTTCTGTCAACTGTAAAGGATATGAAATTATGTTTATAGCGTACAATGGAAAAAATCTTTACATACAATTAAGATTCATCTTTGTCATTTGTTTGCCTTTAATTTAAAATGGAGTATTTTTTTCAAAATGAAACATTTATATCCGTGGCTTCTTATATATCTTTCAACGAACACTTACTCTGATATTATTGTTGTTTGCAAAACATTAGCGAACCTATTTGTTTTGTTGGTTTTACCCCGCACGAACACAATTTAGCTCAGATCATAACAATAAAGATGTGTTTGTTAACATCGAGTGTTACAAACTCAAAGTAACACCAGGGTCCACAACCACTCAACCTGCTGGTGCTTAGAGATGTATAGACTCTAGTAATTCGAAATCACTTAGTCACATTATTTAAACCGTGTTTTTCTAATCGCATCTCCATGATTTCTTGAAGTTCATTTGCTTCGTATAAATCAAACAAATGTCTTACAATGAGCATGAATGTGAAAAAATACATAACTTGCCTGAAGCTTGAAGCTCATCTTCTTTGATTCTATATTTGTTCTTTGAAGACGCTTTTCTAATTCCTTTCTGAAATGTAACCAAATATCTGTAAGGAAATATATGTTTTCAAAAATGTGTCCATAGGTAGCGGACGCACCACATTTCACTGTTTTGTCACCCTAAGTTCATGTTGATAATCTAATGACGTGACAAGTTTGGCAGAACTGCCGCTTTTTACATTCTTACATAAGGATTTTGTATATTTTTGTCATGTCTACTCACTTCCAAGATAAGGCAAAACGTTTTAAGAAAGGGTTTACTAAAATCATAAAGCGTTGTTTATGTACAGTGTTTTACATTTGTATTACGATTTGGTAATCTATTCCATACGTGTATGTTTTTTCTTCATCAACCTTCTTTTATTGTTTTCAATGATCAAATCATACTTCATATAGATCTAATACATTACCTGTGATAAATGCTGTAATACTAACATGTATTTCTTCAAGTCCATAACTTCTTTCTGTAATTCCCTGTGTTTATTTGCGATGTCAGTCGATTCTGTACATTTGTCACTGAAAAATAAGTTTGATTTTTAGTATAATCGTTAAAATTTATTTTTTATCAGTAGACTGTCCTTTTCTACTTTTAAACTTGTCTTTGTTATATTACATTTTATAGCATTTAAATCATTTTTAATTTTAATGATTCCTAACAATAATATAGTCGTTTCTTTAGTTCATTAGATTTTTACAAAGCAACACATTCCGACAGTGGACTTATATATTCACTGAAGTAAAACATATTAAGAAACTATATTTCTACATAAATGCTCTGCAATGCATATATCAAATAGAAGGGAAACATTACATCGTTTTGTTTTGCAATCACATGACATGTATTTATTTCAACCTGTATTTATTTAAATATTTATAACATGCGAAAATATAAGAACCGCGTCATGACAAAACCAACATAATGGGTTTGCGACCAGCATGGATCCAGACCAGCCTGCGCATCCGCGCAGTCTGATCAGGATCCATACTGTTCGATATCAGCGTCTCTACTTGTTATTAGGTTTGTAAGCAAACAGTATGGAACCTGTTCAGACTGTGCGGATGCGCAGTCTGGTCTGGATCCATGCTGGTCGCAAACCCATTATGTTGGTTTTGTCGTGACGCGGCTCATTATAGTCTTACGTCAGCGTATAATTATCTACAAAGTTATCCATGTCTTTTTCTAAAGTACTAGTACACAGGTGCCCCTTGAGTTTACCGTCGTCATTTCTTCTGAAAGATTATACGATAATGATGAATTTCTCAATTCATGATATTTTGAAATTCAATGCCGACTATATTATACAAAACAAGATAAAACCAAATATTTACATTTTGTAAAGATAATTTGCTATAATTTAATATAAGCAATAAGAACGAACCTTTTGTTAATGAGCTGTTATAGTTTAAGGTCATATCGTTTCAAACGAGACGATTTCTCTTAGATCAGTTTTTAGCTCGATTATTTTTTTGAAAAAAGTAGAGGTATTGCTATCGTCGCGGCAGCGTTGCCGTTGCCGTTCCCGTCCGCAAACCTGTACATGGTTCATAACTTTTTTATTTCTTGGTGTATTGTCTTCAAACATGGCCACAACAACCCTTGGGACAAGACGTTTAAGTAGACCACACTTACCTTGACCTTCATCCATAAATGACCTTGACCTTCAAGGTTAAAAGTCCAAATTTTGCTTGTTATTGGCTGTAACTTTGTTATTTTTGAATGGACTGTCTTCAAACTTGTACATAATAATCTTCAAGGATATCCCTTAAAATAGCCAGAAAGACCTTGACCTTCACTCATAAATAACCTTGGCTTTGAAGGTCAAATTATTGAAATTTTCATTTTTTTTTTACTATTATTGGCTGTAGCTTTGTTATTTTTGAATGGTTTGTCTTCAAACTTGAACATAATAATGTTCAAGGATAACCCTTAAAAATAACCAGACAGACCTTGACCTTCACTCATTAATGACCTGGACTTTGAAGTTCAAATTATTGAAATTTTCATTGTTTTGGCTGTAACTGGCTGTAACTTTGCTATTAAGGGATCAACTTCATATTATAGCAGAACATACTTAACTACCTTGTTGTGGGCTCTTTAATGACATTGACCTTGAAGGTTAAATTACTGAATTTTCTCAGATTTGTGCATTTAATTACCATATATATTTAATGGTGTGTGTGTGTGTGTCTGTCTGTGTGTCTGTCTGTATATTTATATATATCATCATCAACAACAACAACACGTGTCACCACCACCACGTGACACCACATGACTCCACCATATGACACCACCACGTGACACCACCACGTGACTTCACCACGTGACTCCACTACAAGACTCCACCATGTGACTCCACCACGTGACTCCACCATGTGATTACCACGTGATTCTTCCACGTGACTCCACCACGTGACTTCACCACATGACCACACCACGTGATTCTACCACATGAGTCCACCACGTGATTTAACCACGTGACTCCACCATGTGACTCTACCACGTGACTCTACCACGTGACTTCACCATATGACTCTACCACGTGACAGCACCACGTGACTCTACCACATGACACCACCACGTGACACCATTTGTCAACCACATGACACCACCAAGGATCACCACGTGACTCCACCACGTGTATCTATTTATAGAATTTTCTATTAATAGAATTGCGTGTTTCTATTTAAAATATATAGACGAAACTAATTGATTTTGTTCAAACATTTCTTTGTTTGCTTTTAGAGAAAGTAAAAAAGTCGAGCGTTGCCCCCGCCCGGTGGTGGCTCTTGTTAAATGTTAAAATGGCTAAAATTATTTAGATGTATGCAAAACTTTATTTCAAAATACATGTATTATAACATAGATAATTTTAGTAGGTACAAAATATTCCTCAACTTAATCCTGAATGAAAAGCAATGATATCATACTATTTTACAAATAAAATACAATATGCATGTAAAACCCGTTCAGCCGCCAAGCATTATTGTTGTGCTTGTGGTATTTTAGTTCTTTCTATTCAGCATATTTCTTGTTGGGTGGTTCCAGAATTCCTGAATTGAATACTAATCACCCTTAGGATATGTGGCCTGCTTTTAAAATTTGTCTTTTGACGTGATATGCAGGCTTCACAACCTCAGATCCCCTTTCAAATTCCATTTTATTTAGTTCTCGTTTAGGGCACACGCATTTTTTTTACTTGGGGACCATATGTCGCTTTTCATGGAATGGCACTAAAGTGTCACATTGAGGGTTCCATGATAACCGCCATATGAACACATCTGCATATGTTTCAAAATTCTAAATTTTACCCGTTCATGCTTAAGCCGGTGCTAGGGGGCGTGGACGGTAGTTTGCACTTGACAGTACCGTCCACGAACAGGCTCAATCAAACCGAGCCTCCAACATTTTCAATTTTACCGTTAGGGATTTTTATATTTCTATTTTAGAGCTAACAATATGTCGGGAAAAATTATATATGTAAAAGAACATTTACATGCACCAACTTTAGAATATTTGATCTATTTACTTTTAACATAAATTGTGGTATTGAACAAGTGGAAACAATATACATGTTATATATACATGTATGAAAAAAAGTAATTATCATGACATTGTTTTACCTAAAGTTTTGCTAGACTAGTGTTATCTTGAGAATCTATCATGTATCACCTTGGTACACTTTAAAGATATCTAGTCCATCTTAGGGAATTATGTTTTGTTTAACGATGATTATGAAAGAAATCAATACTTAACTAGCAAGTAACTTAGGAATTTATTTTATTAAATGAAAATAAGTTACAGGCGCATATCTTAAAAGTAAGTATATGATTTCGAAACCACTCTTGATATAGATAATTTTATATGAACGTTTTAATGTAAACATGTACTTAATTTAGATAACTGCAAATCGGCTCTTACTCAACAGTAATTAGTGTAGTCGCTTTTTTCATGAAGAAACCAGTGCTGATAGTGTAAATTGTGATTGGCATATTTTAATTAGCCAGGTCAAGTTTTTTTTAAAAGGCTTATAACACTGTAGCAATGTGAGGATACATTCAAATTTATTACATAGATAATGCACGTGGAGCTCAGCTCGCAGAGACAAATGAGTACACAGTAACTTTTTGATATTCTTTTAACTCTTAGAAATATGTCAATTATTAATTGCTGACTGTTTATATTTTCTAGAAAAAGTAAGCAAAACATAATTTTGTTTTATATGACAGGAATGAATTACATTAACAATCCTAGGTATTGTTGAAAACTCGTTGTTTTACATGCCAGATAAATTAATTGGGCCCTTATCCTTGTTTGTACGTGTCTGCTGGGGAAAAACAATGTTATGCTTAATTAAAGAGGTGACACTTTCTATATTTTTATCTGATATCGAGTTGTAAGAGCCGATTTGCGGTTATATGGGTAAGAGTTCGATAAGACTCCCTACGGTTGTCTTAATACAAACTCTTACCCATATTTATTATATTGTTTGAACTAAAGTGGAATTCTATAGGATAATTGTGAATTGTGGCGTTTAAAAAGCTTCCTTACAGCGCTCTTTCTCAATTCTGCATTGCACTGTTTTATATAAATGTAATAAGATATATCGATGGCTGAACGCAACACTGGTCTAACTTGATATTTACAAAATTTCGAGGAGGCTATAAAAACTTCAATTTTTCTATAAATTGGACATTTTTGTTATTATTTTTAGATTTTTATATCTATAAAAGTTAAAATTTTAGGTAAAAGGAGTTTCATAAATTAATATTGTTAAATAAAAAAGATATTTGAAAAGATATGAGTTAGATCAGTTTTCCATGTATAAATCACCAAATTTCAAAGACAAATTTTCAGCAAAACTGGTCTAACTTGACTTAGCCCTATGTTGCATTTACAAAAAGGGTCAAAAAGGCCAAAAGAATAATCAATAAGTGCTATGTTTGAAAAAAATAGGATGAAATAATAGAAAAAAGCTGTAACTATAACCATATTTTAGTATGTTTTTAAAAGAAAACAACTTTTCTAAGGAAACCGACAGTTTAATTTATACAAAATTGACAACTATTTGCATAACATACTAGAAATCAGACAATCTTAAAAGTCATTTGTTTTATCACATAAATATTCAAAAAAAATTATTATAAAGTTTCAGTGTGGAATGAATGTTTTGTAGACAAGATTTTTTTTAAAAGCATTATTCAATGTAACATTAAAATTGAAGCACATACTCATAACTGAAACATAGATGCATCATTTAAAACTCGCAATTCTAAAACCACAGGCAATTTAATTCAAAATCAACCTAATTTTTGTCTATTGGATCTTCATTTATATTTTCAAGTTTATTTATATAGTCAGAACTTCAAGAAAAATGTTAACTTTAGGAACATTTTGCATAAACTAAGGTTATCTCTCCAAGTTGCCAAAGAAAAAAAACTTTTGCCTCTCTTGTAATTAAACTTGGGCATGGCACTTGTATATATAGCTTTGGGTCCACCTTCCTTTCTCATCATCCGTTTATACTCAATTTTTTGTCAGATTTTTAAACATAATTTTTTTTCCATATTCATATTACAGTAATTCATTACATTTCTCTTTTATCTATCATCATTCTTACTTTTTTATCAAATATTTTCCCCATTTAATAACCATCTTCAATATTACATAAACCATCATTTTAACCATTCTCTACTTGTCAGTACTCATCACCAGCATAATGATATCAAAAACCCCAATTTCACCTTCGAAATGATTAACAGCATTTTTATCACCATCACGGCTCTTATATAAACAGCATTGTCTCCACTAGCCCTTATTAACCAACATTACTATTCTGAATACTCATCTCAAAAAACCACTATCTTTCTCACCATCTATATTAGCAGCATTGCCACCATATTAGACCTCATTACATCAGTATTGTCATCAATCACACTTTTATCACCAGCATTGTCATCCTCAGCATATTCCCCTCTAACTATAATTATATCACCAATTTTGTCCCAACTACCCTTATGATACCAACATTGTCCTCACTATTAACTATCATATCACCAGTAATGTCCCCACTAACCCTTATAATACCAGCATTGCCCCAACTTACTATAATATCACCAGCATTGTCCCCTCAAACTATAATATCACTAACATTGTCCACACTTAAACACTCATATTACCAGCATTGTCTCAGACACACACTATGATATCACCAGCATTGTCCCATTTACTATGATATCACCAGCATTGTCCAAACTAACCCTCATACCGCCAGCATTGTCCCCTATTACTATGATATCACCAGCATTGTCCCAACTAACCCTCATATCACCAGCATTGTCCCCATTTACCTATGATATCACTCCCAACTTACCCTAATATCACCAGCATTTTCCCCAATTACTATGATATCACCAGCATTGTCCCAACTAACCCTCATATCACCAGCATTGTCCCCATTTACTATGATATCACTCCAAAAACTTACCCTAATATCACCAGCATTGTCCCCATTTACTATGATATCACCAGCATTGTCCCCATTTACTATGATATCACCAGCATTGTCCCAATTTACTATGATACCACCAGCATTGTCCCATTTACTATGATATCACCAGCATTGTCCCCATTTACTATGATATCACCAGCATTGTCCGAACTAACCCTCATATCACCAGCATTATCCCAAATTACTATGATATCACCAGCATTGTCCCCATTTACTATGAAATCAACAGCATTATCCCCATTTACTATGATATCACCAGCATTGTCCCCATTTACATTGAAGTCCAAACAAACCTCATATCACCAGCATAACATTTCTTTTCTTTTCTTGTTTGGTTTTATGTCACACTTACATAGTAGAGGTCACATGGCAATACTCTAGCTTTCCCAGTAGAGGAAGACCTCAAGTACCCAAGTTCTGCTGCTTCATTTTTGTAACATCCGAGGTTAGCTTATAAGGAATTTACTAAGCCTATACGGAATTTACACTGGCTGCCGGTACAGACAAGAATATCTAACTTGAGGGTAATTTTTATGGCGGTAAAGAGACTCTGCAGAGTTTCCGCTACACAGTTACCCAAGAGCTAGATATTCCTGTCTGTGACAACAGCTTGTGTTTGATTTTTTTATCGCATATTACATATTAGTGATATTTCGTAAAGAAATGACGATAACTAATAGTTTCATTTAGTACTTTTCTCTTATAGTAGCGTATGACTTTACAACTTTATTGTTATGGCACAATGATGTCATGTTTAGAAAGCAATTCATTCATAAAAGGCGCTTGGGATGACTTCATTTAAAAACATTGACTTGTCTTACATGGGGGGTGTAAGACAGGTTTTTCTAGCACCGGTGTATTTTAAAACAGAAGATAATCCTATCTAATGTGCAAGAAAAAATCTTTTTCAGTGACATTATTCTAAGGACCTCAATTGTGTTGGTGCGCTGTAAAACCAACCAAACCAAAAGTTTTATTAAGATGATTACAAGCCTTGTACATACAGATACTTAAAAAGACTTCACTGAGGTCCAAAAGCATAAAAACTTAAGATTTGAATTTCTGAAATGAATCAACTTGGGTCACATAAACAAAAGATACACAAGAGATATAAAGAAATTATACTTAACCTGAAATTGAAAATTCCATCCTGGTTCTATTAGAATCTAATTTGAGTTTAAAGCTAATATAAGAATGCTTTTCAATTTTCGGTCATTTTTACAGTTCACATAATTGCTCTGGAAAAAATTTAGCAAATAATCTGAAAGTTTTAACACCATAAGTTATTGTCCAGACTGTCATCAAATTGTACATAAATCTCAAATATATATACATGTATTTTAAGTCCTATGATGCCAAAATTGGAGTCCCTTTAAGAAATTTTTAAAGGGTGGGAGATCTGGTTTCATCAGTATTAATAGATCACTATGATTAAAAACAACAACAAAAAAAAAACAAATTGTCTTGTAAATAATTTTCATCAACAGTGAATTATATGATTTAAATATTATAATAAAAAAAACTTTTTGAAAAGATTAATTAACACTTTTTTATATTTTCAATCTTATATGACTATGTAGAGATAATATAGCAATTTTTAAACTTATAAATGTTCCTTGAAAACAAAATAGAATTAATTAAGAGCTTGGATTTACAATTCTGCAATTTTGGCAACAAAAATGGGTAAAATGTAGAAATAAGTGTTTATGAATATGCCAGACCTAACTTAATATCTGCAAATATAACAATACTAAAATTTATTGTATTGAAATTTAACAGCAACACTGTGCTAACTAGAGTTAGTACAGTGTTATCATCCAATAAGTAAATTTTGATGAATGCAACACAGTTCTAACTTGAGTTAGCTCTCTGTTGCATTTAAGTTATAATCACATTTGAGATAGAGTAAAATGCCAAGTGGTAAATAAAACCCATAAAATTTCACAAATATTTCTAATATTTTATTTACTGATTTATTTCATGCAAATACACTAAAAAATGCAAAAAAGTCATTTTTGAAAAAAAATCAAGTTAGACCAGTGTTGCGTTCAGCCATCGATATATCGATGTACAAATGTTTGAAAAATACATTATAATTATAAAGTATAAAAAACACAATCCTAAAGAACGTGAAACTAGAAAGAAAAACAATCCCTTAATAGAGTCCAAAACATAATTGAAATTGTTGCAGGCTCGGTTTAATAAAGCCTGTTTATGGACATTATTGAAAAGTGCAAGCTACTGTTCAGCAACATAACAAAAAATGACATGATGATCGATCTTTAAAACGACAAATTTTAAAATGCGACAGGCTGGTTTGATTGAGCCTGTAAAGAGACTGAACTGCACAGCGCTACTTACACTCCACGACACCTAGCCATAACACTGTTAATGCTTGGCCATATTACTTATCAAATATATCTATAATCTAAAATATACAGCAAGTTGGACTTGCAACTATATTAATTAATTTTCGAATACATTTAGATCCACTTCAAACAAAATAATAGCATGCTTTAACTAAACGTTTACTCACAGGCTTTTGGCTTTTGCTTCAGCAACTTTCAATGACCTTACGTATGTATGCTCTGTAAACTTGTTATGGTAATGTAAACATTTTTCACACATGAAACGTCCAAGAAGACCACATTGCTTGCAAAAATGTGTTGCAAATGAAATCATTCTTTGAGGATTACCATAACAAATAGCACACACATCTTGAACAGTGTTATCACGATCCCCTGTAAATGTAGACGCTGCGAATGATTCAAAATCATCACTTCCACTAGCAACGCTTAAAAACTCGTTAGTAATTTCCGTCCCTCTTACACTTAATTCCGATTCTGATTTTAAATCGGTGCATTTACCAGTCATTCTGACTGAAGACAAGTCACTGGTTGTTCAGTTTCCATTGTCTTTCATGGATTTCGCATACTTTTATCGGATAAAGAGGTTACTTCCAACTCTGACAGTTTAAAGTTTCTTTAAGTAATAATTCCTGAAAATTGGTTATATCTTGATAAATGTTTTCATTATATCATATGACATGTTTATAATCTATCATTCATAAAACAATTACCCTTTTTTACTGCATTTGTTGTCGTAAAATGATTAGAAAAGAACGCAATATATTTCAAGAATCCAGAGAATACTTTTCTAAAATTCTTTTTTTTTTTGTTATTGCTGATGCTCTTATTGTTATCTTGTTTTGTGACAGCGAATAATAGCAAAACTGATACATGCCAATTCGAAACAACGATGACAAAAATGTGAGACGTGATAGTTTATCATTTGTAGCTTTTTAATGCCTATCTTATGAGGTAAATCATTCCAGTTTTTCAGTTATAGATATGTGATTCAGTTTGTGCCTCATTCTTAAAGGAACTCCACTTAGGTCAAAAATCCTAACACATACCATTTTACTTTCTAACATAGAACACTTTGAGCAATTAAAACAGAAAAAATATGCAGAAAATATTTTAGGAAATCTACTCATAATGAATTAAATAATCGTATTGTTGTCTAGTATTAGCACTGTTTGAGTAAATAGTGTTGCAACGCTTTTCAATTCTTTCTCATTTTCATAATTGTTTAGTTTATACAAATCTATTTTAGTTCGATTGTGTTGGAAGCTATAAGCTTATTGAAACACTCTCGAATCCGTTCCTGGAACCAACCAGTACTAAGCAATGAATGTACAGTTTCTTGCTCAAGGAAACAACGACTTGCCCCTGACAGGGTTTGAACGCATCTTTAGATTACTAGTCCGACGCGTTAACCACTCGACCACACCGCCACTCATGTATTTTTTCTTCACACTTAGAATAATCATTCTGGAAAAACGGAGTACACACATGCTATTGGTCTAAACCTACATCATATGAACATTTTTATGTTGAAACTTGGCATAATATGGAAAGGCAGATTACGATTACACCCCCGCCGGTGTTATTATTTTCCATATATAAATACATAGGAAATATCTTCGTCGACTTTATTAACATCGAATGTCGATTTTATATAATGTTGACGAAACTATTTAAAACAACTTCGCATGTACAAACACGTAATTATATTTAGCGTCTATTCAGTAATATTTTCGCCTTCTGACGAGTATAATAAGGAGGAGCTAGGTGAGTTGATATTAATTCAAATTTCTCGTGAACTGAATTATGCCGAGTCGTACACTATATAAGGTGACTTTGTAAGGTAACTTTAAAAACAGATGGTCTAATGCCTTTCTTGGACTAATGGACTAGCTGTGCAACTAGACTTGCTGCGCTTTTGGAGTTTCTGTGCTTTTCGACTCCCTGTGAGTTTGGACTGCCTGCGCTTTTGGACTTCCTGCGCTACCTGACTCGCTGCGCTACTTGATTCACTGCTTTACTGGACGTGCTACGTTTTTGGACTTGCTGCACTATTGGACCTGCAACGATTTTGCATTTGCTGCACCAATGGACTTGCTGCGCCTCAAAAGTTGCTTTCTTACTAGAAATCGGCATACTAGTATTTTACACCTGCTTTGCTACTGACTAGCGTATCTTATCTTAGCCTTGCTTTGTAGCTAAAAGCGGTTATTTTCTAAGAGTTACTCGAGATCTATAGGAAACATACATCCTCTTAGAGTAACTTCTTTACGTAAGAGCAAACCTCTTAAGAAAAAAATGTAAGGTAGTTCTTCAGGCAAATAATTATTTTTTTCTAGATCTTTATTTCTCTCAAAATATAAATATACAAATGGCACGAGCCTGATAGAAAACAATAGACGTGACGTAAAAATAAAGCGATGTCACATTGAAACTAAACAAAAGTGTGTTTCTATTCGAGCGCTAAAATACTAATAATTGAAAAGTTAATTTAACTTTAGGCTTTAAATAATTAACATAAAACAAAGTACAAATAAAAGCCAAGTTGAATGTCCATGTACTGATATGAAAATGAATTTCATCAGATTCGTGCTGCTAAAACAAATAATAAAATAATACAATAAAATTGTGCTAAAGAAATGCTAACGTATTAATTGTTTTCATTCATACTCTCAAGTGATATCCCCTTGTCTTAAATGTTAACTAACAGTCTAAACTGTAACTAACATTTTTTTTTATTTTACTTTTCCTTTTCTACATAATTATGCATTTCCAAACAGATTAAACGTCTTTGTATCATTTAAGTAATCGCTCCGTCTGTGCTTTGCCTTTGCCGTGTCTTGTTTTTGTATGGGGTCCTTCTGAGCTCCTTGCTGGTGGCCCTGTGCTGCTGAGTCAAGAGGGGTTTGTGGTCATTGAAACCCCTCCTTGTTTATCTTGTGTTTCTTATTTTGAATCTCTAAGCAAAATTGAAATTATCGATTTATAAACATGTTTTTTGAAGAGTTAAGCATATCTTTTAATTACATTCATACAGACAGTGTTACTGTGTTTATGTAAAGAGGTCATTTCGTATAACAGTCATTCTGAACGTTATCTCATCGGATCAACACTGTAATGAATTTAGATTGAAGAAAGTACATAGTTGAGTTCCATGACAATAACCGTGTTTATCTCATTTTGTAGACCAAGTTTAATATCTAAAGATACACTTATTATTTTTACCCCAAACCATTGCCTTGGAAATAAGATGTTCAGTACTCATTTTTAAAATTCAGTTGATGTTGTAGTATTTTTAGGTTTCTACTCTGTGAAAATATTACAAATAAAGTAGCGAATCCATCCCAGCAGATTGAATGATAATCTTTTCTTCCAATACTGTCCATGTCAATGTGTGTGCCCTTTTCTATGACATTGTAAAAAGATTTCCCATCATCTGTCGTTTGTGTGACCGTACCGTCGGAGAGCAAAATAAACATGCTTTCAGCCTGAATTAAAGCAATGCCTTGTGGTTCTTTGACGTTTGAAATAATTTTTATTAAACTGTATGGTTTAGCAGAAACTATCACTATTCCAGTTTTTGTATCAACAACATATATCTTTTTTTCATCTTTTGATATTTTAACTTCCCCAATTCTATCTGTGAATACACTGTCACCTTTTTCGTTTGATTTAAGTACATCATCCAGTTTTCCTGCAGATGTATATTTACGGAGTTGACCAGTTTTTTCAACACGAACAGTGACATAGAAGCTGGTTGACGATTTAACTATTCCTATGCATGGCTCATTCGTTTTTAGTACCACCTGCGTGTTTTTATTTCCGGTTGGACAAACAACTACACCCTTGTTAGGTAGTGCAGCGAAAAAATTATTTTTCACTTTCTCTACAGAAGATACCAAATCTGGAAAATCAATTTCCTCAGATATATTTTTCATTGTATTATAAACAAATACTGACTCTTTCAACGGTATTATCAGACTAGACGGTTCTTTGTACACACTTTTATAAAACTCACTATAAAAAATCCCAATAGCAAATTCACGAAGAATGTTAGATATTCCAGTTTCCTTATAAATACGGGTACGGTCTGCAATTTCAATAAGCAGTTCTGGTTGATTTAAGATCTTTAAACAAAGTGAGCTTCTCGTCAGTTGGAAATGTTTTACGTTGGCATCACTAGACATTGCTTCTGCAGTCGCTTGTGTCATATCTGTTACTCTCAGTAGCTTCCTCATATTGATAAAATGCATAGCTTCATCTTTGCATTTTAAAACTACGTGTCCCTTTTCTAAATTGTTTTCCATGTCACTGCATGTTTTCAAATCAGCTTCTAACTTTGTACGAATCGTTCTATATTTTCTTTCAATAGTTGCAGTATTATTTTCATGAAGGTTATTGAAAGCAACAAACAAGTCAGTTCGAAATGATTCGAGGAAATTCATTGCATCTTGTCTTTCAATATCTAACGTATCAATGCCTTTTTTGCATGCTTTTTTCACTTCTTCTATTTTCATTATGCACTTTTCTTTCCTTTCTTCAGCATCGGCTAAATCCTTGTCTGTAACTGTTTCTGACATTTCATTTATACTAAGCTTTTGCTGGCATGATCGATGCCTTGTGTTCAAACAAGAGACGCAACAATATTCGTCATGTGATACACAAAAGTGGTCGAGATATCTATCCATATGGTAAAGACATCTTCCTGCGTTTATGCTTTGATTGAAATTCAAGTCCAGCTTATTTTCTGTCAAATGATGGGTCTTTGTAGTACTGAATCTATTGTGAGCTTCTATACACGAAGTGCAAAGGTATTCATTGCATTCTATACAGAATTTATGGGAGTTGATCTCATTACCTTCATTTAAACATGGCTGACAAATGTTTGCAGGCAGACCCTTTGGGTGAATTTCTCCTTCTTCAGGATATGAAGGTTTTGCGCCAACGACTTCCCCCATAAGACCTCTGTAGAAAGAATAAAATATGGTGATTATTGGTTTAATGCTCATAATTAAGAAGAAATGAATTAAGCATAAACTTAACAGTTGAAGTATTTAAATACTTTGGAAGAAATAAATGAAATAAAAACGTTGCCCAAACGATTGATGAGTTCGACTTATCAATGTTTTAAAACATATATTGAACACTATATTGAATTTGTATACATGTTTATTTAAAAAAAAACTTAAGATATAATTTTTCAGATAAAAACGATGACGAGTTGATATTTTGCATGTAGATTGTGAAAATATAATTATGTTCAAATACCGATACCTTGCATGAAAATATAAAAGTATTAAGCAATTATGCAATTTTTATGCTCCCCGAAAAATTTCGGGGGAGCATGTAGTCGTCGGGTTGTCCGTCCGTCCGTCCGTCCGTACGTCCCGAATTCGTGTCCGGCCCATAACTTTGTCACAGAAATGATCACCATATTGAGACGACGTGTCGCGCGCAACATTTGGGTCGCTACCTTGAAGGTCAAGGTCACAGCATGACCTTGCAGGAAAATCGTGTCCGGCCCATTACTTTGTTATTTGAAGTCGGATTTTTAAAAACTTTTTCACAGAAATGATCACCATATTGAGACGACGTGTCGCGCGCAACATTTGGGTCGCTACCTTGAAGGTCAAGGTCACATGATGACCTTGCAGCAAAATCGTGTCCGGTCCATAACTTTGTTATTTGAAGTCGGATTTTAAAGATATTTCACAGAAATGATCACCATATTGAGACGATGTGTCGCGCGCAACATCTGGATCGCTTCCTTGAAGATCAAGGTCACAGCTTGACCTTGCAACAAAATCGTGTCCGGTCCATAACTTCATTATTTGAAGTCGGATTTTAAAAATATTTCACAGAAATGATCACCATATTGAGATGATGTGTTGCGCGCAACATTGGGTCACTACCTTGAAGGTCAAGGTCAGAGCATGTGGTCCGGCCCATTTGCCCATTACTTTGTTATTTGAAGCCGGATTTTAAAACTTTTTCACAGGAATGATCACCATATTGAGACGATGTGTTGTGCACAATATTTGGGTTGTTTTTTCACTTTGAACTTTGTCTGTGGCATAACTCTGACACAACAAGAGGTATACCTTCCTGTGTCCAAAACCTATTCGGGGAGCAACACCCGGTTCAACCGGCTGTTGTTTTAATCTTGTTTTGCTTTAACTGACGGAAATTGTTTGAATTACTTTTTTCTACTTTTATCTAAGCATTTGCAAAAAAAATTTTGAGTATCGTTAGGTCTTGGATAGAATTATTTAAACTACTAGAAAATCATTTCTGTATAAATCAAACGCAATTTGACTTTTAGTACATGCGTTTCGTAAAGTCTGATAAAACAACACGTAAACATAAACGCTTTTATCATGTTTTCATATGAAATAAAATTACAAAGAATCTAACCTGTTTAATATTAACTATCCGTTATAAGGGGTCAAGAGTGCTATTAAAAATGAAACATTTGCGTGTTAATTGTTTTGTTCTGTTTTAAGTCATATTTTTTTTTTAATGCGTTTATTTAAGGTCGCCGCCGACCCATATGGGCGACGTACACTCAAGTCGGCATTCTAGAGCGTCCCGAGGCCGAGCATCTTTTTGTCGTCGAATTTTTTCCAGCTTTATTAGGTGGAGGAAGACCCGCAGGTGCGCCTCCGGCGCATTAGCGAGCACGAGCGGGCACCCGGTAGAACAGGGAACAGAGCGAGCACCTTCGTAAGCCACTGGCGATGGCTTTCCATCACAATGAAAGCGACCGAGCGTCAAAGTGAGGATCGCGAAACCTACAGCGGTGAGGGACACAAGTTGATCTCAAGCTCAGCGACAATTATGAACACCACTACCAGGCGACCCGGGAGGCCCCTAAAAGTCATACAGACACAGTAAAGGTTATATGGTGACGTCTCAGTTCACTAGTTATAGAAGGCTGTAGGCGCCTCTTCATATATTGTACAAGTCACGTGCGGGCGCCTTGGTAGAAACGCTGATTTTCCGTAAGCTAGCTTGATAGCTTTCTCATATGAAAGAATCCAAGTATTTGAGGAGATTCGAGTGCACAGTAAGTCTCGTGCTGGTAATGAAGTAATCCTCTAAATATAGTTGTTTTTTTTATATATTCTCTTAATAAAAAAGCAACTTTCAATAAATAACCACAAGGTCGGTGTTTAGATTTCCATTTCCTTTACAGTATTTATCGGGGCGATCGGGCCGATTGGTTAAGGTAGTTTATTTCAAACAAGTTTTACCACACACCGCTTTACCCATCCAGGTACTTTGGATTCTTTCGTGTGAGAAAAACTTTATGATTTCGCAAAGGCGGTGGACTAAGTTGCACGTTCGTGCCTGAAATAATGCACAGAGGGGCGTCTGAGGTCTTCTTCTTTTTGTTAATCTGAAGTGTCGCCATATGACATTTACTGTGATGGTGCCACTTAAAACCAAACAACATGTTGTCTGCATTATGAAACCCTCATTTGTCAGGGTGGAATAAAATGTATGAATTTTCATGTCTTAAAAGAAAGAAATGTACTTACCTAAATATTTAGCCACATTCACCGAACAAAGCTAACATACTTTATAAACCTAGCCATGTAATAAACCCATATATACAGTCGACCTTGTTCAAGGTTATTCTTTGTAAACGTGACTTTTATTAACACGCGCCCATATCTTTTATAAATAAAACGACGCTTACAATGTAAACAGACACGTACTACCAAATATTTTCGCAACGGTCGAGTTACACTGAAAAGAAGAATACGATTTTAAGACAGACATTGGGCTTAATTGAAATTAGAATTATCATGTTGATAGTAACATTAAATAATTAATACGAATGTTAATCTTAATTCATTTGATATGACAATCGTTACCGTCGCCAACACGAATCACTGCGTATAAATACACTTATATTCGGGTATATACGGTCTCGTATATTCAACATAAAAGGTCGTGTACTTGACGTATTTATCTAATATACGAGCCGGGAACACCGGGTAAACGGAAAGTCCATAAACTGATCAGACATGTAGCTTATTTCACGGCGTCTCAACGCCGTGATATTGTGATGGGTAGTTTTCGGTAGCATGGGCAAAAGTCACGTGACAAAATTCCTTTCGATTTCTACAGCCGACATTTTATTGGCTTTAAATTACGCAATCATTGTACAGCCCATTTCCGTGAAAAGTTACATAGAAACATTTCCTTTCAAATCATATACATTACAGTATTTTTATCAACACGCGAAATATAAGCGTGATATATTTACACAATTTCGCAAATCCTTTCGACACACTTGAGAAGTTTGAATAGTAAAACCCGGATTTCGAATATCGTTGTGGTCTACATTGATGCCATTCGTTCATTCATTTATATATTTTCAAAATTTCCTACAAGAAGAAAGTTCACCTGCCAATAAGTATAAGGATAGGTAATGGACTGTTATAAACGATTATCCTATTAATTTTATATATTACGTTTATCTGTTGCACATAATAGTTTTGTTTTTACAAGGTGTACCAGTATCCGGATGTTGAAAAAGCTATCGATTTTCTGCAAAAACTGCTGTAACATGGCCATCTATTTTTTTATGAATACTTTACCCATGAATTTGCATTGCTTAATAAAACTGAGCTGCAACATTTTCTTAATTTTAATGTTTGGGGTGTTCTTTTTGGTTTCAGCTTTTCTCTATTTTAAGGGGAAGTAACTCATGTTTTACTAAATTATCTGTTCTTTTCTGTCTATTTTTAGGTTGAAGTTAGGTATTACTTACTATTTTTGTTTAATAAAATTTACCAGTTGTAAGGTATTAATCAAAAGCATAGAGGCCATGATGAGTGAATATTGATATATATTTTTTAACTGGCTTTATATACCTTAGACAAGATTTTTCTACAGTAGGGTGAACGTGTCAGATTACACGCAAAACGCACGTTACATCGCTATATACGAATGCGACGTATTTAGCACGCCTATACGAACGCACGTATATACGCACGCAAAAACGAAACGAAATAACGCAGACGTACAGCAAACGAATATACGCTAACGAGATACGCTAAACGATATACGCAACCGCTAAAACGCACGCAAATGAAAACGTTTCTAACCTTTTATTAAAACATCGTAATCATTTTAGGTTTTAAAACTTTAGCTAACATAGGTCTACAGATCGTTTAATATAGCGATAAATTTTGATTATCATATAGAATCTATATGGTAGCTAGAAATGTGTTTTAAACGAGTATTTATGTAAGAACTGAAATGCACTCAACAACCTACATGTAGCAACCGAAATTAATTTTGTCACAGCCTCAACAAATGATTTTTAGAAATATTTATAAGCTATCGTGCGCTAATATCGAAAGTAAAATAGTTAGGATAACGGTGTGTCCTTTTTATGCGCAATCAAATAAAAGAACTATCACCTTGCATTCACTAACGTATTCTCTACGTACAAATAAAATTCAGTAATGAACATACACAAATTTAATATAATATTCTATTTAACACATACTAAAAAATAAAGACTGTTTAAAGTGAAATCAGAGTCATTTTTCTTTGACGCGCCTATAGTTTAACGCTAACATTTAGCATGTCTTTACACTATGTTTGTATAACGCTAATGACGTCACGTCAAAATATATGCACGGCAGTAAAATGCCATATTTACAGAGTCGCAAAATCGGCACTGGTGTGTGATAATATAATGCTTTATCACACACCGTCGTGCAATTTTGCCACTGGCCGTAAATATGGTATTGCACACCTGTTCATATAATTGACATGATGTGCATTAGCGTTATACAAACATTGTGTAAAGACACACTTTAAATATGCGGCCTGACTGGACTTGAGCCCGGGACCCCTTGAATACAGTGTCGAGGCTGACTACCGGCTAAAGCTATCAGTCCGCCTGCATACTCCTCCCGTCAATAGTGAACAGTTCTTAGCTGTAGAAATGAAAAAATCAGTTTTACAGTATCCTTTTTGTGATTCCATATACCATGCCAGTAATGGTCCCCTGACAGGGAAGGGAACACTTCCTTACTGATAGTGGATCTGAAAACCTCAGTGTCTGCATTATAGGACATTTGCCATACCTTTTTTTATTTTTTAATTAAATTTGGTGGATTTTTTTCCATATCAATCAAACAGATGTAATTGTAACTCAATATTATAGTAAAATGTTGCCTTACTAACTTAGTTTCATTTCCTAGGAGGCTATAATAAGGTAAAATTACTCCCATTTTTAAAGATGTAATGTATTTGCTTGAACAAATAGGCATCATAGAAAATTTACCCTATCTTTCTTCATTGTCAATATAATTCAATGGGGTTTTCTTATTTTAGTCAATTAGACGTAGTTGTACTTGATAGTATAACATTATTTGGCTTTACTTGATCAGAAGGTTATAAATAGGTAAACTTACCCAAATTTTCAATGATTTAGTGTGGTAAAGTTATTAATAAGGCATTATAGAAAGTTAGCCATTATTTCTTAAATTTTCAATGAATTTTTTGGGATTTTCTTATATAAGTCAATTTGATGTAGGTTTTTACTTAATATAATAATACTATGTTGCTTAACTAACTTTGATTCATTTACCATGAGGTTATAATCAGGTAATATTACTCCCATTTTTAATGAATTAGTGTGTAAGCTTGTATAGTTATACATAATAGGAAATTAGCCAAAATTTTTTTAATATTAAATGTAATTTATTGAGATATTCTTACTTTAATCAATTAGATATGCTTGTTAATTAATAAAATAGATTTATGTTGCACTTATAATTCTGTTTCATGTCCCAGGCTGTTATAATAAGGTAAAAATTCCCATTTTGTAGTGAATTAGTGTTCTATCTTAAGACAGTAAGGTATCTCAGGAAATTTGCAATAACTCTTATATTTTGTAATGAAATTTGGTGGGACTTCCTTACTTTAGTCAATTAGATACGTTTGTTAATTAATATGATAGATTAATGTTCCTCTTATAGCTTTGTTTAAATTCCAAGGCTCTTATAATTAGGTAAAATTTTCATATTTTGTAGTGATTTAGTGCATTTTCTAGGACATTTAGGCATCTTAGGAGATTTGCCATAATTCTCATATTTTGAAATGAAATTTGTTAGGACTACCTTATTTTAGTCAATTAAATATGTTTGTATATTAATATAAAAGATTTATGTTATATAAAAAATTCTGTATCATTTCCTAAGAGGTTAGGTTTAAGGTAAAATTACCCAGTGTATCAACATTTTATGTGGCACTGCTTTCTTTAATAGTTGGGGTCCACATGGAATTTACTCTAACATTAATTTTTTTTATGGACAACTATTGAAATCTTCTTTTTTAAGTCATCTAATTAAAGCTTTTAATTAATAAAGTTTATTTGGATTGAGTTATCAATTACATTACTTTTCATGGGGATCTTGTACTGAGCTCTTTTTAATGGACTGACCTACATATGAAGCATAAAATTGATATTGTAGGAAAATTAAAATTACAATCAATTGAAATTGTATAGGTCCCAAAAGATATAAGTATGCAAAATGGGTTTTTGTAAATTTAAATAAATACATAGGTGATATTTAAGTATATTACAGTTATAATTTTATCAGTTTTGAGGTTATAACTTACTTGAGGGAAGTTAAACAAGTGACTTGGGACTACTGCATACCTAGCTGAGAAAAATCTTCAAAGAATTATATGGTTATATGTGGATAGGTTATATATTTTTAAGTTAGCAAAGGGCGACACAGGCTCATCTCGGGTATCTTAAAGGGGTATTATGTTAAGTAATGGTTACGGATTGATAAATCTTTTAAGTAATTTTAGATAATATACAGAATAAAAATTAAAAAAAGCTATATATGTTTATCAAAGTGGGTTATAATATGGACCTCATATAAGATTAAGATATATTTGAGCAGGGTCACGCTAAAACCAACATAATAGGTTTGCGACCAGCATTGATCCAGACCAGCCTGCGCATCTGTTCGCTAACAGTGTCTCTACTTGTTATACGGTTTGTAAGTGAACAGCATGGATCCTGATCAGACTGCGCGGATATGCAGGCTGGTCTGAATCCATGTTGGTCGCCATACCACTATGTTGGTTTTGACGTGACGCGGCTCATTTAACTTTTAACATGTAAACACTGAACTGGATCGGGAAACAAGGATTGACAATTTTATTAAGATTGCTAAAATAATAATTGTAACTGTTTTTTATTGTACATAATAGGAATATTGCTATATCATTGTATTCCCTTTGTTTGATTGGACTGGTTCAAATTCATAGAAATCCCTAATCAAGGTATCATTATTTAACAAAACTATATTAAAATTTATTAAATATCACAAGTAATAAAAATACATCAATATGACTGTCAGACAGATCTTGGAACAAAATAAAGGGCTTTAAATACAAAAATAGTAGTCTATGCTTTGATAATGAGCTGACAGATAGGGGAATTTTGTAAAGGGTGGCTTAGCCTGTCTGTTGTGATAACATGTCTAAAAATAGTCCAATATATTAGACGTTACAGGCTTGTTATAGTTTTTGTCGGTCAAGCCTGACGTCTAATAGTTATTGCTCAAAAACGCATAGCATCATAAAAAATTCCAAAAATGTCTATTGTCTTGCCTTTCAAGCTTTATTCAAAAGCTTATCATATTTTCTTTCAATTTCATGCTCAATCATACACAAAAACTTTCAAACGATGTACTTATCAATTTAAAATAAAATATAAACATCAATCTATTTTTGTCTATCAGCCATACTGGTTTAAGCAAGGTGCTTTACAGATTGATTCCAAATTTTTGAACGGAAAAATATATTCGAACACACTGACGGTGCATGGGCAATTATTTCGTTAAAAAAATATTCCGTTAGATTGTTCTGACTCAGTTAAACGCTTGCATTTGAATTAGCCAATCAGATTTCGCGCACTTTACGGCCGCCATTTGT